TAGTCCTTACAGCCACCGAGCCCCTCGCTGACAAGCCTTTTCGAAGTTGGGTGCGGACCCAGAAGGCTAGGCGTGTGTCCCTCTCCTACAGTATATTGAAGCTGAATCTGATCAATATGCTGGGAAAGCTCAAGGCAAAGCTGAAGGCCCTTTTCGGTACTAAGACGCTCGTTTTCTATGTATTGAGTCGTCGCTTCGTCTGATTCAGGATTGGAGAGGGCCCGGTAAGCAAGAGCATCGAGTTTCTGCTTCACCTCTGCTAGATGTGCCTCTAGATCAATAGTTGTTGTCTCGATCAATCCTCGGCAAGATCGAATGGCTTCGACGGTGATAGTAGACGTACGGCTGGGTAGGAAAAACAAGTCAGCATGATGGCATATCATTGTAAATGTGAATACTTACAGATTCGCAAAGCCAAGAACGACAACAATGGTGGATTTGTAGCCAATGAGCTGCTGTCTAAAGCCTTCAATTCCGTCGCCGCCCCGGTATGTGAGCTTGGCCCATTCCCGAAGACTAGCTCGATCTTGACTAGACCGCGAATTGCAGGCTCTCAGCTCTCGCTCAAATTCCTCACATGAACGAGTGCATTGCTCCAACGTAGCTTTGAGGGCCGAAAGGTCCACTTCAACATCGCTGCCAAGTGCCTGGGAGAGTTCTTGAAGTATTGTACTTAACTCTGCCAACTCCGAAAGGAGTTCCCTGACCTGACGTGGGAGGCATCGAAAACTTTGAACGGCCTCTTGAACCTTGGCGATAGATTGACGGGCGGATGTCGCCAACGTAAGACCGGATCCAAGGTCAACAACTTCAGCCATTGGTTGTTCATCTTGCTGCGGCATCCACACGAGGTCAAAGCCAAGGCGAGCCTGAATATCTCTGGAAATTTCTCCAGCTGGAACAAGATAAGCGATGCTGGTCCCAGGGCCACCAGCAACTACATGACCATATAAACGGTCATCGAATTTACCGAAAACTGCGGTTCCGCAATCTCCGTCATGTAGAGGCTTACCCAGTCGTACTGGGTAGACTCGTTGAAAGGTGAGTTGCCCAGGAAGTCGAATATAGGATGGTGTAGCGGTGAGTTGGCCTTCGACTAAGCAATGTGGCGAAGTCGTAGCAACGATGCTGATGTCATCTAACCCTATCTCCCCAATAGCCGACACCAGAGAGCCTGTGATCCAGGATGATTTCTCAAGATTTTCTACCGTCCTTGAGGTCTCGATGAGAGCGTAGTCCAGCGATGGACTAGTTCCTGCCAGGGAGCTGAAGATCAATCTCCCAAAAAATTGAAGCTGAGACACATCAAGCTCGCCGAATTTCAGACTGTCCTCGGTGGACTCGACACTCAGAAGTGAATCATGTACACTGCTCAGATGATCGCTTGAAGGGCTTTCGGATCTTGAACTCAAGTGTTTCCCACCAGAAAAAGTATCGAGGCTGGCAACGAATGATGCTTTGTCGGAATCAGTCTTTCCTGGGGTGACACTTCCTCTGCTTGTCGTCTCGTCATACTGGACTTCATCGTCCCTCTCAACGTCACTCATGCCATCAAAATCACAGTCTTCTTCAGCTATTTGCTGGCTGGATAAATGGTCGGGCTCCCTGGTGTGCCGGAATGCGTGTGCAACAGTAAGCTGGTAGCATTTGCCATCTTGTAGGATGATTGGACCGGTTGTGGCTGGTCGTAAGGAGAAATCGTTAGGGTTAACGACGAATATTCGCTTTCCCACCGCAGGTTCTGATCCGTCGGCTAAGACTGTTCCATCGATATCACAGCCAAGAGGGAGGAGAGCCTCTATTGCCTCTCGAGATAGCTCTCTTATAACATGGCGGTCGGGCAGTGCCGAAACGTCCCCAAGTCCTATGCCAGGGTGTTTGTCCATAATCTTACTATCTTTGATCAATTTCCTAATGTACTTGCGCGTTTTCAAGTCTGTGGAGCAAATGAGAAGCTTTGGTGCTGCGGTATGTTCGTTATGGCCAACCATATAGATAGACCACGATACGATATCGGCAGGAGGAATGCTGGAAGTCTCAAGGCAATCTTTGACATCAGGGCTCAGTTGCCTGAATGCCTGACGAGCTGGACCAGTTGCTTCCCAACAGCGATACCGGCCATCATGCAAGTATCCGACGAATGGACCTATGGAGTCTTCGGGATTATTCCATCTGTCCGCTTGTAGCCCCAGAATTTTAGAGAATGGCATCTTGCATCATTTGCGACAGAAGATGGTGGGGGAGTTAAAAACGGCGGATAGAAGATTCAGAGAAATTCAAGCGAGACTATTCTTTCAGCAGGAAAGTGCCCATGCCCGTCTTCAATACCAGCTGATCTTACCCCGCATATTATGGAGCGACAAACGAGGGTGCAGCCGCCTATGGTGGCGGTGCAGCATTTCATACGGAGGCCTTAACCCCGCTGTCCCGCTATCCCCATATTCCAAACCCCAAGCACGATGAACCACTGATGTAGCTGTTAAAATAGGGTTGGAGGGGCCGGGGCATTCTCTTATGCTACCTAACGATGTCATAGGAGTAAGTTTTTGTTGCTTGTGCCGACAACAAATGTGTCGGAATAGTTAGAAGTTCCCCTTTCTCTTTAGGATCGTATTTCAGAATTCTCGATGGAATTATACAGGGTATTAAGCTCTCGGTGAACTCTCATCTTGAAAATAGGGATAATAGACTCATTTCTTCTATAAGAGTACATCCAGCATCACTGCGCATTTCAAAGAACATCAATCCGTTCCCGCGTAACCCTCCCTCCTGATTCTATACGATCAGTTGAACGTTCTGGCAACAAACAAGACATTGACTCGTCAGTGTAGGTGGAATATCTTACGCACTACGCAGAGAAAAGTGAAAGGAGATAGCAGTAAAAGTCTGCAACAGGCATACGTCTTGCGCTGCTTCCGGATGAAACACGGGACCATCGAATGGCACCCCGTTCTACATATCACATAAAATACACATATTTCTTCATATAAGTCCAGTTCCATACAGCTAGCTGTTGCCGTTAATCCCTCGTCGGCTTTGTCTAAATTAAGCCCTGGGAATAATGCGAAAGGATGCGCTCGATTTTGGCCCGAGAACCATGCTCAAGGCAAGTACTGAAGCAACAAGACAGACCGAACCCTCCGTCTGTGGACGGACGCTCGGGTATCACGCTAACTTCGTTGCCGGCCTCGAAATCGTCTCTCATTCACGGCATATCCCGGCCAACGTCCTCTTACATGCGCTCTACCCTTCCCTATTCTCCGGAGTAGCGACAGGCTTTCCCTACCGTTGATATCTCAAACCCTGGATACAATCGCTTCTAGGCTTGTCAGCAATGCAAATTCATAGAAGGAGCTACGCGAAATACAGATACGTGAATGCTAGCTCAGTTTAGCTCGGTTTAGTGCGATGGTATTATGTTCCGGGGTCGCCCAACGGGTTTGGGAACAGTCATTCATTGGCATTTGGCGGGAAAAGCCGTTGCCGGGAATAGAACGGTCGGACCCATCGTGATGTATGTGAAGATGGGCCTAGCTTGTTTGGGAAAGCGAAATTCAAGGCCAGAAGGTTATTACATGCTGCTCCCCAAAAACCAGACTCGGCTCTTTCATCACCAACACCTGGCCGACACCGTCTCGGTCTGCATCCTAACCAACCTCTCGACCGATTATCTCAGCCAACGCCTTCTACACCCACCTTGATGGGTTCCGACACCTCGTCATAACACCTAAGCGCTGCACAGGTGTGAAGGCCATGGCCGTTTACGCGCCGTGGCTGGCGCCAAGTCAGCGTGATCTCTCAACAAGCCACAGACTGTCTGTCTATTGGATTGTGTCCAGTGTTAGGGCAGTATCCCAGTTGCCGTCGCGCATCTGGCCGATGTGCAATTGGTGTGATTGGGTAGGCGTGGATCCGTTCCGGCTGTATCACGGTGGTTGGTTTCGACTTGCCTGGCAGGGTGGTAGCCATCGCGGTCTGCCTTGCAGCGGCTGGAGCGATGCCTTCGCCCGTCGCCTGTCGCCCACTCCGTAATCAGGCAAAGGCGTGAGGCGCCTCCTCAAGGTCTTTGCGGCGACATTGCCTCTGTGTCGATTCCCTACCGTAGCCGATGTCCTTCTCTACCTACAACATCGGATAGCTCATTACGACCACAGCGATGCCCGGTCACGATATTCGGCTTCTCGCCCTCGATGGCGGCGGTGTTCGCGGCCTGTCGTCTCTAATGATTCTGCAAAATCTCATGTCGACCATCGACCCCGACGCTCCGCCCAAGCCATGCGATTACTTCGACATGATCGCTGGCACCAGCACTGGCGGCTTGATCGCCATCATGCTAGGCCGCCTCCGAATGACTGTCGACGAATGCATCGCTGCCTACACGTCGCTATCTAACAAGGTGTTTGAGAAGAAGAGCCACAGAGTCAAGATCAATGGCCAACTGCAGGGGAGGTTCGACAGCACGGCACTCGAGCAGGCCGTCAAGCAGACCCTTGCGGACAGTGGCCACAGCAAGGACGCTCTTCTCAAAGATTGCTYTGACGGCGCCTGCAAAGTGTATGTTCACAGCACTCTTCCGATTGATGTTCCAGCACGACTAAACGAAGCAAAGCCTCGTCTGCGTGACGAGCAAAGAGACAGGAGACACGATGTGCCTGACCAGCTACCGCTCCGCCCGCGGGGTCGCTCACCTGTACGACTCCATCACGATCTGGCAAGCTTGCCGGGCTACATCCGCCGCGACCACTTTCTTCGATCCGATTGCCATCGGGCCTTACCAAGAGCAGTTCGTCGACGGCGCTCTAGGAGACAACAACCCTGTCTACACGCTCTGGACCCAAGCCCAGGACGTTTGGGGCGACGACCAGTTGCGGAGCCGTCTGCGGTGCCTGGTGTCAATCGGTACGGGCGTACCCACGCTCAAGCCCGTGCGCGATGACGTTCTGGGCATCAGGGCCACGTTGACAAGCCTTGCGACGGAAACAGAGAAGACGGCAGAGCAATTTCGTCGCGACAAGTCGAGCCTCGACGACGAAGGTCGCTACTACCGCTTCAATGTCTCTCGCGGCCTCGAGGATATCGGCTTGGCGGAGTCAAAGAAGCAACGCGAGATTGCGGCGGCGACTGGACGGTACGTCGCGTCGCAGGATGTGTTTGGACAGATGAAGGCGTGCGCCAACGGGCTTGCGCGAAGGCAATGTTAGTCACCCCTAGTATTGCAGATAATATACAACGTTCCAATTTGCCCATTATAGCATCACTAATCAGCCGTCCCAAGATTTTGGCCCTTTCAAGACACCCTTCAGCCTGGACGGTGTCCCCGCGTCGGATAAGTTTGTCGCTAGGCCGGCCGACACGGCTGAACTGGAGAAGGCACTTCTCCCGCAGCGATCACATGCCCGACGGACAGACAGGAAAATATTTGTCCTTTTCGGACTCGGCGGTGTAGGAAAGACGCAGCTATCAATTGATTTCGCCCGACGCCACCAAGCCGCGTTCAGCTCGGTCTTCTGGCTCGACGGCAGATCSGARGACCAGCTGAAGCGAAGCATCGCCGGCTGCATATCCAAGATCCCCAAAGACCAAGTTCCAGAAACCAGCCGACGCTGGACGGACAGTCGCATTCATAGCCAGGACGAACTCGACGACGCCGTGGCGAATGTGATGAAGTGGCTTGAGCAACCCGACAACTGCGAATGGCTATTGATCTTCGACAACGTCGACAAAGATTGGATCCGTCAAGAATCTGGAATGGGCGCTTACGATCCGAGGCGGTACCTACCTGGCGATCATGGGTCGGTGCTGATCACGACACGGCTTTCTCGTCTGGCACAGCTGGGTGAGTCTCGAAGGTTAGGTCAAGTAAACACGGCCTTAGGCAAGGCCATACTTGAAAAGTGGTTTGGCAGCGAACTTGGTAAGTGCTTACGACCTTCTTCTTTACAATTTCAATACGATTGTAGCTGAGTCTTACGCTGTCGCAGGCGCGGATTGCGACGACCTCCTAGAACTGCTACATGGGCTGCCCCTGGCGCTGGCGCAGGCGGGCTCATATATAAGGGAAACGGGTGTTAACGCCGCGACATATGTGCGGATCTACAACGAACAATGGGCCGAGCTAATGGGTCCTTGCGACACATCGAACCGACCACTGTTGGATTACGCCCAGGGAAGCGTCAGGACAACGTGGACCATTTCGTTCAAGGAAATCGAGCGTCAGAGCCCTAATGCTGCCAAACTACTGCGACTCTGGGCCTTCCTCGATAACAGGCAGCTGTGGCATGGTCTACTGGCGGTGACGGCGGACGGCGGGGAACTGCGAGGCCGATGGCCCGACTGGCTCAGCGAGGTGGGTAGCAGCGTGGTGCGGTTCCTCGACGCAGTTCGGATGCTCTTCCGGTACTCAATGATCGAAATTGAGGAAGGATTGAAGGACAGCTACTCTATGCACCCAGTAATTCACCGATGGGCGTCGTGCCTAGACGGGCAGCAGCAGAAAAAGGAATGGATAAAGCTGGCACTCGATGTGGTGGGGCAATCGGTGCCGTTTCAAGGTGTAAAGGAGTACTGGCTCTTACAACAAAGACTTCTGCCACACGCAGAGCGTTGCTTGTGGTGGATACGTAAGAACGGATTGAGCTTGAATGAGTGTTCTTTTCGGGACGCTCCTATGATAGACTCATTACATTGCCTTGGAATCCTTTTTGCTGACCGGGGCAAGCTTCAAGAGGCGGAGGAGATGTATGATCAAGCTCTGAAGGGCCACGAGGCGACGCTCGGCCCTGATCACACTTCAACGCTCAAGACAGTTCAGAACATAGGGAATCTCTACAAGGTCCAAGGCAAACTTCGAGAGGCGGAGAAAATGTATGATCGAGCTCTGAAAGGCCACGAGGCGACGCTCGGCCCTGATCACACTTCGACGCTCGAGATAGCCAATAACTTGGGAACCGTTTACGCTGACCAAAGCAAGCTTCGAGAGGCAGAGAGAACGTTTAGTCGAGCGCTGCAAATTTACGAGACAACGCCTGGACCCGATAGCGGTAACACGTTGATTCTTGACATATGCAACAACTTAGGGTGTCTATATAGAATTCAAGGCGAACTTCAAAAGGCAGAGATGATGTATAATCGAGCGCTGGAAGGCTATAAGAACAGGCTTGGGCACCAGCATACATGGACTCTGAGGACGGTCAATAATTTGGGGGTTCTCTATGCCGACCAAGACATGCTTCAAGAGGCGGAGGAAAAGTATAGTCAAGCGCTGCAGGGCTATAAGACAACGCTTGGAACTAATCACATGTCGACGCTCAATGTAGCCAGCAATTTGGGGCATGTTTACAGCAAACAAGGCAAACTTCAAGAGGCAGAGGAGATGTATAACCAGGCCCTAGCGGGCTATGAGAAAACGCTTGGACGTCACCATGATTCGACAGTTGAAATAGTTGAACACTTGGGATATCTCCATGCTAACCAGTTCAGGCTGCGAAAGGCAGAGGAGATGTATCAACGAGCGCTGGGCGGGTATGAAAAGGCACTTGAACGGGATCATCCGAAGATATCCCAGTTAAGGACTAATATAAAATCTTTGCAGCACGCCCAAGGTACGTCTACTCTTCCATCTTGTGTAGCGTGTTCTGACAGGATTCATAGTTGATTTCACGAGCTTGGACGAAGAGAGCAAGCCAGCGGGCAGGTTGAAGGCTTTTGGGAAGGCAAAGGCAAGGTTCCGCAGACTGATTAGATCTCGTACAGAGAGACCGGGCGCGCGACAGGAGTTCTAGATTACCTACTCTTTTCAAATCATTAAGTCATCAGCTTTGGCATTGTATGCCCTTTTTTCCCCACCGTCACCCTTCTAACGTGATGATATGCTGTAACGGACCAATCACTACGAGAGGCATATTAGCTCTTTCGCTAGTCAACAAAGTTTGACCAAGTCGTATAGGGAAAAGACAGCATATATGTGCATGCTGTTTAAATCCAATGGAACTAGCTAATGTCCGTCATTGTCAACTGTTTTTTTGTTTGATCGAGGCAGCAAACCGATCAACATACACTAAACGCTTCTTACGAGCGCTGTTAGGCTATAGGTTAAAAATACCTGGACGCGATAAAAATGTTGATGCTTAAATTTTTTCTTCTTTCTTTTTTAATAAACTGAGAAACCTCGATAGTTATTTGGGTGAGCTCCAAAAGCTAGGAACGACGTATGATCAAGCACTGGAAGGCTGCATGACGAGACGTGGATGGACATGGACTCTAAACGGGAATAAGGCAGGGGTTCCTCATACTAATTAAGGCATGGTTACCGGACGAGGCGGGTATAACTAATCCTTACAAGGCTACAAAATAACGCTGGGGCTTGATCACGTATCGATGCTCGACGTAGCAAGCAATTTGAGGCATATTTCCAACAAACAAAGCAGGTCTAAAGAGGTGGTGGCGATATACGGCCCAGCTCTAGTAGGTTACGAGAGGGCACTTAGACTTCACCATGCATCGACTGTTGAAATAATTGAACACCTAGTATTTCTAAGCTAATCAAGGGAATACATGAAGGAGTGCTAGAAGGGCCTCAATCTACCAGCGGACCAGCTATTTCCCGTTGTCATCGATCTTTTATGTTTTATTTTTGTCGAGTATCGAACTTGAATGGTGCCCTCAGATCGATGTGGAAGGGCGCGCTTGATATCGGCCCATGAATTACCATCTTGCCTCATCCTGCGCACAATTTCGTCCTCTTCTGACGTCCATCTCCCGCCGGATGATTTTGCAGCTGAACGGAAATTCTTAGGCAGCTTTCTGCACTTCTTTGGATGCGACACGGATCTGCTAGCATGTGGCTGACATGAATCGGGATCCCATTCAAACTGTAATTGAAATGTCGTCTTGCCGCCCTCAGTGATGCGTTTGAGCAAAACGTTTTCGAGAGGCCATTCCTCGAACCGAGCAAGAAGCATGTTAGCCCTGGACAGGGCTGGTGTTGCCGCAGATGGTATTGGGCTGTGACTGTCGCGTCTAGACGTTCGGTTCCCGCTTGGCAACTGTGCGGCATGTGCTGCCGATCGTATTTGGCGAGGGCTCCGAGAGCTGGTGGCGGTACTGCGGACTGCACATGAAACGGACTTTGAGAACTTGCGGCGCTTGCGACCCTGGTGGACATCATCCAAATCATCGTCTTCCGAGCTAGAATCCTCAAGACCTGGAAGAGAAGAAGAGTTCTCTTCACTATGTTGAGATCCTAGCCTGTTAAGACCGTCCTCGTTCCCTGATTCTTCACTGCCTGCGTCACAGTCCTCACACTGCATGGTTTTATGCATCTGCGAGGATTTGTGGCGGAAGCGACGAAGTGACGGCGACGTGGAAGACACTTCGGCATCGGAACTGGACCTAGCCTCCGTGGTCTCGGACTCAACATGGGTGGACGCGCTGCTTGTATCATCCAAGGCTTGCCCTTGACACGGTTCATCAGAGGACATGGAGGGAGATGGGGTGCGGACTTCAGGAATGGCATCGTCGCACGACTTGCCGGCGGGTATTTCGTTTTCCTGGAACGATGCTTGGACCACCTCCACGGGGTTCGCAGTCCAGCGAGAGTGTGCGCCGGTTGAAGGGGAATCCTGATGACCCTGGGAGCTATGACAAACGTCATAGTCAGAGACAGCATCGACCACCATGTTGCTCTCTTGACTGGCTGATTCGGATCGGAGCTGTTTCCCGTCTGCCGCAACTGGGTATGGTTGGCTTTCAGGGCTGGTAGGAGGGGTTGCAAAATTGATATCTTGACACTCAGTGGGCGTGTTCCCGACCAGTAAGTGATTCATCCCACAAGATTGTTGGCTCAGTCCAGCATCAGCGAAGTGAGACTCATTCGGCTCATTCGGCCAACCTAGGGCGGTATCCGCTCGAGTCGGGGATCCTGTTGACGCAGTGTTCACGCCAATGGTAGTTTCTGACTCAGTTGCGCCATATTCGGTGGCAGTCAGATCTACACGTCGGTTATCAGAACCTTTCACCCAAGAAACCCCATAGCCTCCATGACTTACCCAAATAATCCACAGTACTGGTAGGTGCTGTAAAAGATTGCGAACCATCGAGTTCTTGACTCGTATCGTCTTCATCTTCAGTATCAGACTCGACATCAGAGGGAATACAAATCGCTGTGTCCTTAGATTTTCCAGGAGCCGAATGCGCCTCCTTGTCATGCAAAGATGCCGTGTCTGGTTGAGAAGCAGGAGAAGTGAAGCTCTGCAACAGCCTCCGCTGCTCAGAGTGAATAATCAACGAGGTCATACTTGAGTTGCAATGTGTAGGGAGGAAAAGAGTGAAGGGGCTTGGTGTTCGCAGTATGGCCAAATTGAAGATCAACATGGACGGGCATTGTCCGACTTATATGCTCGCAGCTAAACCATGCGGTCAAACGAGTCCCAGCCCCTTCCAGGAGCCGAGCCCGGTCTCGTCGTGGTGTCTCTCCTCGTTCTACAAGATCACGGTGGTTTGGATGGACGAGGAAGACACGTAACCGCTTCTCGCTCGTGCCAATCACTTCACTGCCGGGCCACACCTCTCGCATATCACCAGGGATCCACGCCACTCGCTGGCAAGGCAGAGTTCTCAGGAGGTACCAGATGAGGCAGGTCATGATGGGTGTTGGACTGTTCACGCACGACGCATGATTTCCAGTTGGTCAGACAGCACCGGTTAGGAAGTTCCCGGGAGCACTAGCTCTTCCGTCTGACCGTGATGAAGCTCGACGCTGCGCCCGCACATGTTGATCGTCACAGCCAGGAACCTTTTGAGCCATTCAGAGCGCTCGAGATGCCGTCATGAACGTCTCATGATCCCGCAACAGCAAGACTAACGAGGTCGCATGCGTGCAACACCAACAGCTCGCCGTAGTACGCGCGTCCCTCTCTTCCTTCTCACCCAGTCATCGCTTTTGACATGCTGACTTGCCCCATTTCTGAGGCGTCTGAGCCATCGCGATCTGTACGGAAACAGGTGAGCCGAAGACCAACAGGAAGTAGCCAAGGAACTTCCGCCCAAGCGGCGGGTAGTCTGGGCAACCCCTGAACGGGGAATTGGTGACTCGGGCCCCGTCGAGCGACCCGTGACCAGACGCTTCACCCCCTCTACCCACTGAGGGGGACCAATCAGGGAGCGAGTTTGTGCCAGAGGCCTCTGGAGCCATTCATATCAGGCTCAGGAGGCGAGTCCGAGATGGCACCGTCCTCCATCATGCAGCAGGGGCCATTGATAAGCCACTGCGGCATTTCTGCCATTGGATGGGCGTCAACTGGAGGCCTCACAAGGAAAGACATTGCCGTGAGATGCTCTGCTACAGCCTGAGAAGCATCACACCACTGTGAGGCGACCCAACCCGGGGAACTATCTCTAGACTGTTGGCGTTGTTAGATTCTGAGAGAAGAGGACGGGAAAGGAAGCCATACGAGACGAACAGTAAAGTTAGTAATGTTATCAGAGGGTAAAATGGAAAACGAATGCTAGAACATGTCTCATTCCCTCCACAATCAGGCTTTGGGATACAAGCGTCGCGAGAGAACTGCGTTCCAAATGAGAACGATGACGTGGCAGGATGGGCCAAGGGAGATGGGCTGAAGGCAGCGATGCTTGCAGAAAATGGAAGCCAGCCGATTCAAATGGGCAGAGTATGGGAAGAAGCAGAGGTAAAAGATACATGTTGGTAGGGTTGGAGGAGGTTCTTGTCTTATATACAGAGAGTCACGTGATGCGCGGTCGTGCGGATGTGCGGCACGCGCGTCTTGCCTGTTTGGGCGGTGCCGCTAAACCGGAGGCAGCAGCAGCGCATCCGCGATTACTTTATTAAATATTTATAATAATACTTTATTTATATTTTTATTAAAGATTAAATTAATATTAGGTTTATTATTTAAGTTAAGGTTAATTTCTTTTCTCTTTTTAATTATAATAATAGTTTTTCCTTYAATAGTTTATATTTTTAATTTTAATATAGGTTTTTATTTAAGGTAAACTATTTTATTTCTTTTTTTCTTATAATATAATTTCTTTTTATTTTTATTTATTTTTATTTTTTATTCTTTTAGGTTACTTTAATATAGAATTTCTATTATTAATATAATATATTTTAGAATTAGTCTTTATTTTTTAGGAATATTTAAGTAGTATTTATTAAATATTTCCTTTTTACTTAAAAATAGATTATATACTTAAGTAAAGTTAAGTAGTCTTAATCTATTATATTTAAATTAAATAATATTAATAGTTTTAATAGCTATTTATAGTTTATTATTATTTTTATCTTTTTTAATAGTATTTACCTTCTTACTTTTTAAGATATAAGGTATTAATTTATACTTTTAGTTAGTTTTAATAAAGTTTTTATATTTAGAGTCTTTATAACCTTTCTTACTATAGTTTTAGTAAGTAAGTTTTAATTTATCTTTAATTATAGTTTTAATAGTTATTAGGCTAGATTTAGTTCTATAAGAGGTATTATTATTTTCCTTAATTTATATTATAATAAGGTCTATTTCTTTATTATTTTATATTATACTTATTATTTTAGGTTCTTTATATATACTAATAGTTATTAATTTTTACTACTATCTTAATATATTTAATTAAAGTATTAAGTTTAGGTATTTTATATAGTTTTATTTAAATAGTTTCTTTAAGTCTATTAAGGAAAAGTAATATAAATATATCTTAATTTTAAGATAGCTTTAATATTAATTATTAATACTTTACTGTATAATTAAAAGCTAATTTAATTTATTTTAAGGATTTAATATATTATTTAATATATCCTTTTTTATTAATTGTTTTAAATACTTATTTAAGTATATTCTTAAATACACTAAAGTTATTATAAAGTATAAATATTTAAGGTTACTATTTTAATTTAGGTTTATTAATATAGTCCTCTATAATAGGTTAAAACTATTATATAGCTATACTCTTAAGGCATTCTATAATATATATAGTTTTAATAAAGTCTCTTTTAAATTAAGTTAAGTAATAAATTATAAAGACCTTATATTAAATAAGGAATATAATTAACTTATTAAGGGTTTTATTAAATAGTTTAGGTAAGTTAGGCTTAATTATTTCTTTAATATCTCTATTTATTACTATAGTATTTATAAGGTTTTATATTTCTTAAAGTCTATTTTAATTATTAATTACCTATTAGGCTTAAAGGTTTATAATTTCTATAAGTATTTAATAAAACTTAACTATTTTAATAGTTATATTAATAACTTATTATTAAAGTTAAGTAACTTTTTTATTTTCTTCCTTTAAGAAGTTATTTTTATAATCTTTTATAACCTAATTAATAAAAGGATTATTAATAAAAATAATAAGGTACTATTAAATTCATTAAATTAATATAGTTATTATATTTATATTACTTAATATAATATAATACAGTTTAAATAAAAGCTATTAATATATAACAGTTAGTTCTAACTGTATTAAATTAAGCTATATTTAGGTTTATTATTAGTAGATTATATAGGGTATAATACTAAGCGGTTATTAAAGTATTATATCTCTTAATAGTAAATTTAATATATATTAGGCTTAATTAATATAAAGAAGTTTTATTAATAGCTAATAAGCTAAAATCTATAGAAGTATAAATAAATATAAACTATATATTATTATTTATAAGGTACTTATTAATACTTCTATTAAGGACTGAGATATTAATCCTTTAGTTTTAGACTGATATTATAAGGTTTTAGTTTTATTTTAATTAGTTATTTTAAATAAATTAAAAAGGGTTTATTTAGTCTATATATAATTAATAGGGTTTATAAAGAAAATTATAGGGTATATATAATATAACTGCAGGGGTTATAATATTATTAATATTAATTATAGCTATTAATATAATATTATAAAATAGCCTATAGCTATATAATTATAACTAYTATATAACTAGCTATAACCTTAATATAGCTTTTAGGCCTGCCTTAAGTATAGCTAATAAAGATAAACTAAAAGAGATCTATATAATAATAACTGCTATTAAGAAAAACTTCTTATTAAAGTATTAATTTAATTTAATTAAAATAGTAATCTTTAATTATATATTAATTAAGTTAATTAATTATATAATTTATTAGCCCTATTTTAATATAATTAATTTAAATTAAGTCTATTATAAGCTATTAAGTTTAAAAAACCTAAATAGAGACCTAAAAGAAAGTTATTCCCTTTAGTTTAACTAAATAGCCTTCCTTACTGCCTTTACAGGCAAAAAGTGGCTTTTTAATATAGCTAAAAGGGTTATTATAGCAGAGGGGATACTACTTTTAATATAAAGTATAAAGAGTTTTAAGATAAATATAAGGTAATAGTAGGGTTAAACTAAAGGTTTTATTAAAGTTAAAATCTGGCACTATAAGGTAAAGTTTAAGTTCTTTTAATAAAGGAATTAAGTTAACTTTTATTTAAGTTTATTAGTAAAAGTTAAATTAACCTCTATTAATTAAATATATATATAAAGGCATATAACTAATTAACTTTATATTTAAAAATAGATAAAGTAATATAAATAAAGAAGTAATAATTTAAATTAGGGATTAATACTTTATAATAACTTTAATATATTTAAAAATGCATTTAAATATATATTTAAAATAGTTAATAAAAAAAGATATATTAAGTAATATATTAAATCCTTTAAGTAAATAAATTAGCTTTTAAATATATAGTAAAATATTATTAATTAATACTAAACTTATTATAAAATTAAAATATCTTTATATTACTTTTTTTAAATATATTTAAAGAAACTATTTAAATAAAATTATATAAAATACCTAAACTTAATACCTTAATTAAGTATATTAAAGTAATAATAAAAATTAATAATTACTAATTTACTTAAAAAAACTAAAATAATAAA